CATGGTGCATCTATTAGCACTGACAGAACACATACAGAGAATCTTAAATCTTACTTGTCAGTTCTATAGAAGAACCTCCGGCCGAGTAAGGATAACTTGTCAGTTTCATAAGGAAACCTCCGGACTGGGAACTTGTGAATTTATCAGTTCCACCTAGGAACCTCTAGCCAGGTACAGATAGCTTATCAGTTCCATAAGGAACCTCCGGTACCAGGAACTTGTATAATACTTGAATCATAACATAATGTCACTTGTATCATACTTGAATCATAGCATAATATCACTTGTAATATACTTGAATCATAGCATAATGTCATAAATGCTTGTTATTGTTGGACAATCATTTATAGTATAAAACATGACATTTCATTCAACAGATCTTATTTCATATATCGAAAATCATTTAACTTGAACATAGCTTTACCAAGTTATTACTCACAGATAACAGATGCTGTAAGTAGATAATTCAACTTCCTTGTGGCGCATGACCTATACAGTTACAGAACGAACGTATACTAAATTACACACCCGGAAATGATAACTTAGTCCCTTCTTGTTTTGGTGTGTGTCTACTTCATTAACCTCATTATGGTGTCTTAATCATGGCCTAGGAATGTCGAGGATGAAATGAGGATGCAAAATTGCACTTGAAAACATTTTTCAAAACTTGCTGAAAACAGGGTCCACGCTCGAACGTGGCTTTCCTCGCTCGAACGGACATGCAAAATGTGAGGGCCCGCTCAAAAGTAACTTCTTTCGCTCGAGCGGTCTGTAAATTTTAAAAAAGTACAGGTTGCTTGTTTTTCACGCTCGACGGACGCTCGATCTCCGCTCGAGCGTGAGACTCAGACCCTCACTCGAGCGTGACTTTTGTCGCTTGAGCGTGCTGCAAAACACAAGAACTTCTGAGGGCTTGCATTTCATGCTCGAGCCAACCCTCGGTCGCTCTAGCGGAAGTGTGAGACACAGAGTGGTGGATCGAGTGTAGGTTCCTACGCTCGAGTGTAGATGCAAATTCTGGAATTTCCAGATTTGATCCCAAAGCTTAAAACTCAAACTTAAAGCTTCAAACTTTGATTTTTCTGAGCCAAAACTTGAGGAAATACATGAAAACTCTTAAAACAACATGAACTAAGGATCATTTCAAGAAATCATGGCCCAATAGTTTGCTAATTGTGCCAAAATTCAACTTAAAATGTAAGAACATGCTCTAAACATGACATGCATGTAATCACTTGAGTTCTTAACCTCCAACACAAGATTAAATGAGACAAATGGATGGAAAATAAGATGAATTCTCAAAGCTAAGGTAGAATGATAACATGCATGGAAGAATTCTTTGAAATCGCCTCACAATGTGGAGAGATGAACATGCATGCATGACATGGTCCTTCTACTACCTTATTTAACTCAAGTCTTGCTTAACTCAACATAATCCTCATGAATTCATGTTCTAAACATTATAATTATATAATCTAGGTGTTGAATTCATACATCAACCTCTCAAGTAAGATCTAGATGATGAGCACACTAAGATTTCAAGCTAACTTTTCCCAATTCCATCCATTCTTGTTGATCCCAATTCTCTATCTCTCTCTTGGCCCCTCTCTCTCTCATATGTTTGTGTGTGTAGTAGCTCAAGTATGTTTTAAACTTGAAGAAAGGAGTACAGTGGAGGCTTATATGACGCCTTATATAGGCTTCACTTGAAGATAATTTAATTAAAGCCTCGTTTGGGAACAGGTTAATTTAGTAACTTTTTGGCTATTTGGTTAAAATATGAGCTAAAAAAAACTAGTATGTTTGGGATGACTTTTTGACTTTTTACGAAAAGATATGCAAAAAGTAGAGAGAAAAGTGAATTTTTGACTTTTTGATACGAGTTGTTGGCTTTTTGATTTTTTTAGTGACTTTTTGACTTTTTGGCTAAAAGGGCCACTTGCCAAATGAGGTCTAAATAAGTGGGCATTAAATTAATCTAATTTATCTGTTCCGAATCGAACTTCAATTGAACCTACTATAAAATTCTAAAAATTCTAATTAATACATAAATCAAGTCAATTTCTGATTCGAATGCCGATGAGGCCTTCAATTCGCAAACCGAAACAAAAACATGAACAAATCTTTTTACGTTAAACAGATATAAACACAAAATAATACAATGCACATGTAATTAACTCAAGATTTCTTCTTAATTACTTGTTAGGCACACTTAAGCATGAATTAGCGCTAATCTTGGGTCGGGGTTGTTACAAAATCTGTTTTAAAAAAACTTTGTATACCACAGGCTTCTATTTACTTCCTTTATAATTTTTTTTTTTTTCATTTTTAGAATTTGTTGTCTTATATTTTTGTTCTTCAAGTTGTAACATCCAATTTGAATTAGTTCTATTATTTCTGCTTTGTAATTTGATTTATAAATCCGAATCTATTTAATTTTCTATTAAATACTCAATTTTATACAACACAAACTACAAAAATCAATCCAAAGGTTACGATTGATTTTTATTGTTAACTTAGTTGGTTCCCTACTTCGAAATTTTACTAACATTTCACTGTCAACTACTTCGAAATTTTACATCCACTGTTATAAGAAACAACAAACACATTCAAATAATTTTATCATTTTGTACACCTTAATATGGAATTTTTAATTATTGTTCCTCAATTTTGCGTTTCTATCTTTTAATTTTGAAATTTTTATATGAAAAGACAGTAAGTTTCATTGTCCACAGAATAAACTTTCATTGTTCGAAACAACAAACAATGCATATGAAATGCACTCTTAATAGGTGCACACCGTACGGTTTTTCTATAGTTGTATATCACAGAAAATCTTAGTACACATACTTTGTGTGGCTTAGGTATAAATTTATAAACAAAAGTCAAATGTTCAGATATAAATTTTTCAACAAAAAATAAATTGTTTGGATATGCACTCCATTTAACTAGTTATGTCCAAATAACTATTTTTTGTTTAGAAATTTATATCCGCACATTTGACTTTGTTTGAAAGTTTATATTCAAATTACATAAATGATGTGCATTAAGATTTCTAGTAGTGTACAAATAAAATTACTCAACTTTTTTTTGTTTTTTTGTGTGGACCGCACCTATTAATAATTTTAGGGATAATTACTATCAAGTTTTATAGACTGAATAATTACTAGCAAGTTCTATAGACTTATTTACTAATAAGTCTTGATTGAAATTAAAAATTTATTAAAGAGATAAAAAATTGAGACATTTTAATTTTATTTGTGAGTTTTGATTTATTTTTATTTAACTTAAGTTAGTTTGTATTAAAATATGATGGGGGAAATATAAGTAGTTAAATTATACTTTTTTAAAATATTTTTGTGATGATAAATTTATCATAAAAAGTTAAAGCACCACTTATTAATAGGCAAGTCTAATCATAAAACCAGGGGCTTAAATAAAAAAAATTTAAATTTACCTAAAATTTGGAAGATTCTCATATATCCTTTAAAAAAAAAAAAAAAAACCACTGCATTAAGAAAGGGAATAGAAAAATAAAAGTAAAAAATACAATAAACTGAAAAGTATCGGAAAAGAAAAGTATAAATCATAAAATAGACTGAAAAGAATATTACAAAAAAAAAACTCTAGGTTATACTTCATTATTTTGGATTATAATTCATGATAACATTCTACTACTACACTAGTACTGTTTACAAGGGGAGCTTTTCGAAATTCATTGCTTTGAATTACTGACAACATTACTGAAGCTTCAAAAAAAATAAATAAATAAATAAAACAGTTTTTTTTTTGTCCAATCACAACGCGCCACCTCATTGGGAGTCGACCCCCAGTGGGGTCCGAAGCATTTTTCCACTACATAATTCGTAACAGCAGGAGTTGTTCGAAATTCATGGCTTTGGATTACAATTTATTGACATCAAGAGACTTGTTCAAAATGAATAAAAATTCTTTCTTTTTCTTCAATCAAAGTCACATAAATATAAATATTTTAGGGTGATTTCAGTATAATATTTTATATTTCATATTGTGAAATGCGTTTTTAGCTTCCTTCCAAATAAAATTTTCAAAAAGAAAGACGCAACCTATTCAACAATAGGATATCAAATTATTTTAATGTAAACATTCCACTTTAGAAAAAAGAGAACAGAGAGGCATATAATAGTTTTACTCACAAAAATATTTCCTTCAAGGTTTAGTCACACAAATCACCAAGTAACAAATGCATGACTAAAAACATTTCTAACATTTAGTCATTTATTTCATTAAATTTGAATAAAATTTTAAGTAAAAACTCTATTTGATATTACACGCTTCAATAGAAAATTTTGATATTTCATCAAATAATCAAACTTTGATATTTCATCAAATAATCAATTGACCAGACAAATGACCGGACGGTCGACTAATAAGTGTAAATTGCAAAGAAGTAAATGTTTGGAAGATAACCGGCCGATGGTCCAATGTTCTTACACTAGTGGCTATCTTCAGTAATTTGATGAAAAGTTTCAAACATCCTCAATTTAATCAAAAGTTTTAAAGATATTAAACTGATGACAAAGTTAGAGCAACATTTTGATCAGCTTTTCATCAAATTTAAGTTTGGTGAAAGAAACCTTGGAAATAGTCTAACAAGTGTAAAATGTCATCAACGTGTTGTTCTAAAACCCCTATTGACAGTAATTAAAAACATTTATTGGCCCTATTTGGTACAGCTTAATTTCAGCTTATTTCAGCTTTCAGCTTAATTTAAGCTATTTTGATGTGTTTGGTTTAGCTTATAGCTTATAGCTTATAGCTTTGTGGAAGTCAGAAAACAGCTTATTCTTTGAGTGGGGCAGGAGATGCTTTAAGAATAAGCTGAAAATCAGCTTAAGCTGAAAGTTATAAGCTATAAGCTGTTTAGGCATAAGCTATAAGCACTTTCCCACAGCTCTACCAAACGGGGCCATTAAATTTCACCGAAATGATAGGGGCAAAGAATCCAAAAACACAGCACCTTCAAAGTACGGACACTTAATTCAAAATTTCCATACATGCGTCTACAGCATCAAAGATAAATTATCAAATTAACCGTGCTCATAAGCATATGTAAATTTTTTCCAACTTGGCTATCAAATACATTACAAGCTAAAATCATGCCAGAAAATCGTAAGAGGATAAACTTGATCCTATTCTCAAGAGCTAAATATACCTGATTAATAAATATAGAAGAGATCAAAACTTGATGTTTGAGTAGAGAATAAAAAAAACCTTTTTCTTTCCCTCGAAGCACAAAAAATGTAAACCTTTCCTCAACACTTGCTTAATAGCAAAGCTTCAGATCATCTGTGATCACGTCAAAGAAGGGTAAGTTTGGTGGTGTCACTTCTTGATAACGGTGGTTTTACACTACGCATTTCCAAGAGTATTGAGTCATTTCACTTCTTAAAACTGTCACTACGTTAAGTTAAGACCAAACATGCCCATCATCAGACTTCTTTTGTTTCTTCTTTTTTCTCCTTCCATCTTTAGTCTCTGTCCTTGCTTCGACATGTCGTGAATGCCGGGTCCGTATTTCGAGCAACTTTACTTTTGCATCTTGAAAGAGTGCATCTGACTTTAAAGCCATCAATTGCTGAGATATCAGACAAAAGTACTGGGTCTTAGATTTCTCCCAATTGATACAAACAATTGCCCAAAATATAACTGATAAAACAATTGCGAAAAATATAACTGATAAATATGCACACCTTGATATGATCCATTGCTGCAAGGTTGAAACCAATAGTGTCTTTGCATTCCTGAAGCAAATTCATACATATAGTAAGCCAAAGAATTGAAGATTTTCACTTTTACTTTTACTGCAGCAAATGTTACCAAACTGTGTGAAACTAATATAAGTCAAGAGTAAGGTTCAAAATCTTCTCAAACAGTCAATCGGGGTGTCCATCAAATAGCCACTTAAAGTCCTTTTTATCTTAACATTTTTAATAATGAGATTAACCAACAAAACAAGAACAAAGCAGTACAGGGAAGTTCGATGCAAACATGTAGAGGACATTAGACAACAAAATAGGACAAAACATATCGACATAATGAAGCCAACAATCAATAATTCAAAGCTCTTCGAAAAATGAACTGCAACTACTATTTCATTGAGGGATGACTGATAAACTATTCTATTTCAAAATGATTAAATATAAATTTTTACAGGGCTACTGTAAAAGCACTGGCTACTTCCAGAAGAGGTGATCCTTTGGACGGTTGCACAGGCTTGTGTGCCATAGGGAACAACCAACTTGAATTGCAACATTACTACAAGACATGCAATACAGTATTATGTGAACATATGAACTTTCACTGCATGCCGTAATTTGGAGAAAATATTTAAAAATGCTACATTTGATATGTTTTAAGTTTGCTACATTTGACATATTATTGAATTGATCAGATTTTGTCCTATTAGTCTTTATCCCTATATTCATTGCATTTGAATGAGCAAGACACTGAAACTTTGCAATTGTGAATTGGCCTTTTTATGATGAGGACCTACCTCAACTCAAAGACTAGGGATCCAATTGAAAAACAAGAAAATAAACTGAAGTAAGACACTTCTTCGGGTTTTGGATGGGGAAGGGCCAAGAGGTTCCGCCATTGGGCTATGGGCCAGACTACCAGAAAAGGTGAGAAGTTTCTTTTTTTCCTTTCTATTTTTTTCCAAAGCTAATATTGGTTAGAGCATTTGTTAAATGGACTCTTCTAAATTTGTGATATTCCCATGTCACACACTCTACACTAGAGTAAAAGTACGGGATAGAAGTCCAACAAGCTTAGCTGGACAAGCCTAAGTAATCAATTTCATTATATAACAATGCACAACTCTCATTTTATCCACACAAAAATAAATAAATAAATAAATGTTAGTTTATATACACCATTTCACCCAAAAAAGAAATATTTGAGAATTATGAAATCTAACCATGTCCATGGACATAAGAATTAGATAAATCCGACACTTAGACACATACTCACACCAAACATCACACCCAAATCCATGCAACATAAGATAGAGCTAGAACATTCACCAAATATCCATACATACATGCACGTGAATAATGCCTTCACATTAAAACAAATTAATGAGCTGACCCATAGGATTACCTTGACTCTTGCCTGAAGAACATCTTTGAGAACAGTCAAAACAGGTCTAGCAGCCACAGTAGTAGTCAGCTGGTTATGATGCAACTGCAGTAGCACTGTAGTAACCCTACAGACAAGTTCCACCTGCACGTGTAATGCAAGGAACAAGATCGTACTGACAATTGACAACAAATTTCAATATTTCATTAAGTTCTCAAGAAATAATAGCCTTGATGCACTTACTTGTCACCTGTACCCATTTGCATCGGCTAATAAATAGATGATGAAATGTTGATGGGATATGGACAACCAGTAAGAAAGTTAAAAAAATTATATGGTATATGATGAGTTGATGTTTAAATGAGAGCTTATTTCTGTAACAAACACTAGCAAAAGAGATGCATGCATTCGTATTCATGCCACTACTTTCTACGTCTACAAGTGCACATAGTCTAACCTTATCTGGGATGAAGGCCCAATCCTTCAAGTAAGACAAAAGCTTCAAAGCATCCGAGAATGGCAATGCCTGCAAGGTAAACATTCCTTGTTTAGAAAGCAAGCCCATCCATATCCACAATCCAAAATGGAATCAAGGAATTACTAACCCTTTCAGGTTTTATCAAAGGATGTTATCTAGAATTCTGCTGTAAAGAAACTGGCTAATAGTAAGCCTACTTAACAGGGTCAATTTAAAAATTTTGCACAGCTGTTGAATTTGAGGAAAAAAGCAGTGAAATGGACTACATTTTTTCAATTTCAATTAGCAACATAATTAGATTAACCAAAACAAAAAGATTTTAACAAAAGAGCTCCCACTCTCTAACAATGTGAATAAATAAGAACGACTAAAGTGAGGGAAACAATTCAAATATCAATTTTGAGAAAGATCCAGATTGAGATTGCAACAGTGATAAGGAACAGATGTATCTCCAATGCAGGGGTTTACTTATCAATCCTTAAAAGCAATGCACCAAACTTGTTCAAATTGCCCAGATCAAGATGAGTCAATAACATCTCAATTAATCTGTCCAACCAGGACAAGTTAGTTTAGAATGTAGAATGTCAAAGCAAATCAATTTTGAAAGTTCATGCAGAGTCAACATTCGTCGTGAAATTCTCTTCAATACCTAATTGCAAACATAATTCTACCCAATACAAAAAAATGTCTTCCTCACTATGTGACTTCAACACCACTACACCACATACTTACCAGTAATGTTTGCTCCATATCATTCGTATGAACATTTGAAAGTGCACGAAGAATGAAGTCAGATGGAGAGAACCCAAGCATAAGAATATTTGGTTGAAAACCTGCAACTTTTCCTCTCGACTTCTCCTCCTGAAAATTGCATACATATTAACACACTATTTTTTTTTTTTTTAAAGTATCACTTTAATAAGAATAGCTAAGGTAAAATTCCAAGTCTCATTTTCCATGTTAGTTGCCTATTTCAAAGTTCCAAATCAAAAGCAATCCTTAAAACTCTGAACAACACACTAGTTTAATTACTATTCACCATAGTCATGTCAAGTCTTCAATATCTTCTGTCTCGTGACAATTGTACCTCTTCTTACAAGTCAAATGAGGTAGAACATGTTAAAATTTACCATCACCTACCACACACTTACCATCACCTACCACACACTCACCTACTACACTCACCTACCACCACCATCCACTACACCTACATCTATATAAGGAACCATTTGTAATAGACAGAATAACAAACAATCAAAATATCAATCAATAATATACATCAATTTATCTTACAGAACATTTGAGGTAACAAGATAGTGCAAGGTGCCCATGGTCACAAAGTCTCTACAAGTATAAAATGTAAAACCAAACAGGATCAGTTGTGAGATCAAGAAGCAGCTTATTGATTGTTGGCATAATAGTCTGTTCAGAGTATTCTAAATGTTTAGGAAGATATCCGATAGTTTAAGCCGCTTCATAATAAAGAAGTCACCCTTCTAGCACCCACTAATTAACCAGCAGTGTTAGCTGTTTTCTGTTTATTACCAAGAAGTTTAATTAACATTTACAATATCTTCTGGATCAATGCAACTACAATGTGTCATATAGTTTACCAAAAGCCTTGATATTCACACCACTGGATTTTTGTCAAGAAGGGTATACAAAACAACATCTAAAATAATTTCTCTTGCTTTCTTCTTGAAATAAAATTTTATTCATTGGTTTATCTCTCCTGCCTCCTACTGAGCTACTACTAAGAGGATCTAGCCAGGTGAATCCCTAACAAATAGGAAAGCAGTACAAACTTGTCAGGCGCGAAGCACAAAACCTTTAGACAATGGACACATAAAATTTAAGAGAGAATTTTTGGCATGCCTAATAAGACCTGACATTCCTATGCCAATTATAGATTAAATAGATATGCAAAACCACCCTACAAGTATTTTATGATCATAGTCATAGATATATCAAATTAGTTAATACAAAATGACAATGGAGAAACAATTCCGCACCTCATGCTCAGTAATACGCTTCAATTCTGCCTCTGCCATGTCTAAAGCTTCAATAATTGAGTCAGTTGCAGTTAGGGTTTCCTTGGTTTTCTTCCCAGCTAAGGCCACAGCTCCTTCCTCTGGAATTTCTTCTTTATGTGCATACCTGTTTTCAAATGTGTTGTCAAGGTCAGACTCGAACATCTCTTCCAACCTTTTTTCTTTCTCTTCCTGCAAATTCACAATAGCACATTATTTTTGGGAGGATTATAATGATAATGTAGCTCCAAATTTCAACTTAATTAAGAAAACCAACATGAGAACTAACTATATGAGAAATAAGTTGACCATAGGTCCATAGCATTTTGGTTCAATTAATTTAGCATCATAGCAGAAACAAGAAAGCAATACCTCAATGAAAAATGGTTCTTCAGTGCGATCCCAGCGCCGTATTGATCGGTCATGAGATCCTGTGACAACAAAATCACCACGGCTGCTGACTGAAAGACACCAAATTTCAGCATGATGACCTTCAAGAGTTAACAGCAACTCAAACTTGTCAGCATCCCAGTACTTCACAAGGCGATCTTTCCCGACACTAAACAGGTAATGGGTGTTGTGCACAAATTCCACTGCCATAACACTGCCCAGAAGAAAGCCCATGAGTATAACTTATTAAAACTTTCTCAACACTATCCATTACAAAAATATGATAGTTATTTATTTTTTAAGTTAAGCACCTATCAGCATGAGCAAAAATGGATTTATGACAGTCTCCAAAATCCAAACCCCAAATCTTCAAATTTTTGTCTGCTGAGCCAGTGGCCATCAAATCTCCATCTGATGAAATATCCATACACAGCACAGGCAGCTTGTGACCATATAATGAAAGAAAAAATTTGAGTGAATCCATAAAGAAGACCTGAAATGGTTTCATATAAATGCATATATTAGACACAATTGAAAGCCTTCAAAATCATATTGACAGGCTAGTAAATCGCAACTGACACCAATTCAGATTTGTGACAGAAGCTACAAGAAAAAGGAGCTAAAACATCAAGAAAGATAGCAAATCATTGCTCCATGACCCAAATTTAAGTCACAGAATCCTAGAATCTGAGTTTCTTCATTGTTAGCAGAAATATACAACTTACATTAATCAAGGTTATCCAGTAACCTTAAATCAATCAGCTAATTCCAGTGAATCATCCCAACAGCATGGATCCAAAAACAAACAGGAACTACCATTCAAAAAATATGCATTTAATTACAGCACTATGCTATTATCCCTCACCATTAAATTATACTTTCTTTTCTATATTCACTGTAGCCCTGTCATTTAATTATCTAAACATGATTCAAATGTTGTGGTACATTCAGTTCAACTGCAGGAAGATGTTTAGTGCTAATCCACCTCAATGTGCACTCTTCCATTTCAATGTGCAAACATGGATTTTAGTAACTCACTTTGGATCAGGATGTCTTACTATCCTGCAGTCTAGAATTGAAAAATAAAAAGAATCAAGATCTCAGGAAAAAAAATTCCATCTTTACCAATGGAATTGTTATGAGATCACTAAGATCTGGAATCCTAAAGTATTTGTGCTTCCATAGAATCCTACACTTCAGTATTTACTTAGTACTTTTTATGTGCCTTCTCAAAAGTTTGGACCTTTTGCCTATTCTATGTTATAAAACAAAGCTAATGACCTAAAAAAGTGCCCTAAATAAATGTAGTGCTCCCAGAAGAAAATCTGGGAACTCTAAATTTTACTGTTCAACTCAAATATTCAACAACTCTAATCATGAAACTTCAATCCACGAGTTAATAGAGTAGCTGAAACTGATGGTTACAGTACTACTATGCTACACACATGAAATTAGACAAAGAGAAGACTTCATACAGATCATATTCTAAAGAATTTTAAATATGTTGTGGTACATTCAGTTCAACTGCAGGAAGATGTTTAGTGCTAATCCACCTTAATGTGCACTCTTCCATTTCAATGTGCAAACATGGATTTTAGTAACTCACTTTGGATCAGGATGTCTTACTATCCTGCAGTCTAGAATTGAAAAATAAAAAGAATCAAGATCTCAGGAAAAAAAATTCCATCTTTACCAATGGAATTGTTATGAGATCACTAAGATCTGGAATCCTAAAGTATTTGTGCTTCCATAGAATCCTACACTTCAGTATTTACTTAGGGTTGGTTTGGGGTGTCCTAAAAAATTGCACTTTTTGTCTTTTTACGAAAAGATGTGTAGAAAAGTAGAGAGGTGATGTGATGGAAAAAAGATAAAAAGATGGAAAAAAGATGTAGATCCCAAACTAGGCCTTAGTACTTTTTATGTGCCTTCTCAAAAAGTTGGACCTTTTGCCTATTCTATGTTATAAAACAAAGCTAATGACCTAAAAAAGTGCCCTAAATAAATGTAGTGCTCCCAGAAGAAAATCTGGGAACTCTAAATTTTACTGTTCAACTCAAATATTCAACAACTCTAATCATGAAACTTCAATCCACGAGTTAATAGAGTAGCTAAAACTGATGGTTACAGTACTACTATGCTACACACATGAAATTAGACAGAGAAGACTTCATACAGATCATATTCTAAAGAATTTTAAATTAACAAAGGAAATAGTACCTCATTTATCTATTGCTAAACAATGTAAATAAAATAATAATAGAAACAAAGATAACCAGCAGAAATGAAAGAATAAAGATATAACATTCAGCAGAAATGAAAAAACTCAACAGAGTATTCTAATCAGAAAACATTTAGAGAAGTTAATCTCACCTTCACAGTACAATCTAACAGAGCAACAGCAATATATTTTGAATCAGGGCTAACAGCAACCACTAGAACGTCGTCATTCATTTTCATATTCCGTGCATGAGAGACTGTTAGAAGCTTAGAAACCTGTAACCAGACCAAACCAACTTATCATTACCAAAATAACAAATGTGAAACTTTCACTATTTAGCAATCTAAAGACGTCAAAAACATTAATCAGATTCGAACAGCCATAATAGCCCAACACCTATTGTGCTAGGAAGATATATAGAAAGAGGGGGAGAAGCAGACTAAAGAGATATGCAAACTTAACATAAATGCATCCAGTTGATGCCTATACTGTCTATTCAAAAGCAAAACTATAAAAATATTCCAACTATGTTGAATACTTGAAGGAACTCAATTATTTGAAGAAGCAAGACAGGAGTCAAATCGATATTATCCATAAATTTCAGTGAACTTAGCTCAAAAGCAATCTGCAGATGCAGGGTTTAAAAAAGTATGTCTACATTAGTCCCTATTAGATGGGGGTTTGGGAGGGGTAAATTAGGTACAGACCTAATCTTTGGCATAATTTGCAGCCAGTGTATACTAACAAAGTTTATTTTGATCCCAAAGTACAATGTACAAGAACAATTAGTTCATGGTATAATATGGTGATAGAAGTTTCCTATACAACAAGGCTTCTCAAGGTGAGAGAACTCTACCAAAAACAGTAATTTGAAAAGAAAAGTGCTCAACAGAACAAATAGAAAGCTCATGTACAATTAATACTCTCCACGAATATTAGGAAACAGAGCTAGAAAAGTAAAACTTGTCCAAGAAACAGCATATTTTTCAAAAAAAAAAAAAGTGAAGTCATCATCATTCCATGGTATGATGAATAGTTCAAGTCTTTAACAACACACAAACAGGCAGACAGAAAGAGTATAAAGAACACACTTCACCAGGTTTTTGCGAAGTTTGGTACTCCCAGAACTTGACATCATGATCAGTACTCCCAGTTACAAAACCATTTCCATCTGGAACAGCCACAATTGATTGGACGGAGCCACCATGAGCTTCCACTACTTCCACACAAGTACCACTACCAACATCAATAATTTCTAGAGTCCCAGCTTTTGTACCAACAACTGCATACTTGTTACCAGGAACAAATAAACCACACAGCCCATACCCTGAATCAATAGTTCGGAGACAAGAACCAGTACTTGGATTCCATATCTTCACTGCACTATGGCTAGTTGACATTAAAAGAGTATTATCTGAACTAAGCGTAACACTTCTGACATCAGAACGATGTCCCTGGAGTTCAATAGCAGTGGTTTTTGTGGTTGAACTACTTTCAATGGAATAAAATTCCAATAAATTATTGTTCAAAGACAATGCTAAAGTGGAAATTGAGTTCTTGGGAGTGATAGGACTAAAAGTAATAGAACATATCTTCTTGCTAGCTCGTATAATCTGATGAAGCTTAAAAACATCAGGGACTGTAACAACAGGATTGTTTCCTTGTTCTCCTGCTCCATGATGTGCATCTCCATTTTCTGTTACATCAACTGCCCCTTTTGCAGATTTCTTCTCCTTCTTCCTGTTAACTCTCCTTTTTGCTTTACGCTTTGACTCAGCCTCATCCAATACTCGGAGTATCTCTACTGTCTTCCCTGCAACTTGACAAGCCAGGAGATTTCCAGACGTATTGAACCTCACAGTGGCAACTCTATCCTTGCTCTGTCGCTGAATTTCACCAAACTGCGTCAGGACTTCCCATTTGTTTTGAGTGGACGTATCTGTATTGTTCGCAGCTTCTGTTCCACTTATATTAGATACGGATTTTCCATCTACCAGCTCATGCTTTACTGTATAAAACCTAAGCTGCGGGTCTGCTGACCCACTGACCAGATATCTCTCCTCAGGATCGGCGTCTACAGACCAAATTTCACTGTGATGGCCACTAATGATTTGCATACAATGCTGGGTTTCAAGATCCCAAACCCTCAAGAATTTATCCTTGGAGGAACTTACAAGTTTTTTACCAGAATCCAAGAAAACAACATCAGTTACCTACAACAAACAATCCAAAAAATAATAATAATAAATAAATAAATAATATGTTGGAGATTAAAGGTGGTGGTACACTAATCTGGCTCAGATTAAAATTGCAGGCTTTAGTAAAAATTTCGAATACAAACCTGATCACGATGCCCTCTAAGGCGAAAAAGCCCAGACTCACCAACCACATCCCACAGAATGACATCATTGTCTTTGCTTCCAGATGCAAGCAAAGATCCAAGCTTGTTGTATCGAAGGGCAGTCACTGCCCCTTTATGTCCATTCAATGTGATTTCGCACGTTCCTTTCTCAAAATGCCAAATTCTTATACTGCCATCAGCATACCCACTTGCTATCTACAATATTAAAAGAGCAATGATTCATAGCTCTAAATTTGGAGCTCTAACAATGGGATAACATTCTCATTTCTCATACTGCTGTTCGAATTCTTAATTTGCATTCGAGAGAAAAAAAAAAAGGGTAAAACATTTACAAAACAAAGTATATAGATGTGTATATATATGTCCATTTGCATGCACAGATTTTTTTTTTCTCACGATCTTTAATTATTACACCATTTGTTTGCAAATTGACTATTCCTCACCTTTCAACTCCCATTTACTAGCTGGAAAAAAAAAAATGTAGGACAATTGCAACAAAAAATAAAACCATTAAACCTCAAGTTTCTACATTACATGAGAACCAAAGAAAATACATTTAATCCGAAACCAGTCAAATGAGCCAAGATGCAGCATTACTCTATTTCCTTCCATTTTCTCAAAAATAATAAGGGTGTGCACGGCAATCCCAAGCCAAAACATTACAGTATTTCATTCTTCCCGTTTCCTCAGCAAGAAAATTAAGTTTATGAATAATTGTATGTTGGCAAGTGTCTTTATTTCAAACACACAAAATTTATGTGATACAAATGGAAGTGAAGCAGAAGAGAAGGAAACTATACCCAGTTAAATAGAGATTGAATCTTTCAGAAGAGTTTGTCAGGAAGTTATATTAGGTTATGAAGTTTATAAAGAAGAGGTAAAAAGGGGTGTAATCTGATGTATTTTATTTGGTAATCACTTTTTTCTTTTTCTTTGAATCAGAAGTTCCATGGCAGAGTTTTGATTTTTTTTCACAATTGGCTTCATTTGGCAAAAAACCTTGTAAAAGCCAGCTTTTTTTTAATTTCGTTTTTCTGTACTTTTTTATTTTATTTTAACTTTTTAGTCAATTTTTATTTATAGGTCCATATTGACTAGACAATTCTGAAAATTTTAAAATTTTGAACCAATTTCGCAAACAATTCACAAAAATAAGTCAAATTTTATTTTATTTTATTTTTTTAAAAAAAAACTTATAAAACTAAGGAAAAATTAGTGATACCTTCACAAAATATTTACAAATTCATGAAAAAGTTTATAACTTTAAACATGCACTGAATTGCAAATTCCCCAAAAATTTAATTTTTTTGGGAGATTCTCCAAAAGGAAAGAAAGAGGTGTGTAATCTTTTTTTGTTTTTTTTGGTAATCACTTGTTTCAATAAATGAGAAGTTTCATGGCAGAGTTGTGAAACTCTGATTTTCTTCTGAATTCTGTTTTCTGCAAATTATAGTTCTTTTACTGTGTTCTTCTTCGAGCTCACATCATATATGTATGTGAGTGCAGACAAATAGAGCATGAGAGAGAGAGAAAGATTACCAGAGAGGAGGGAGAGGAAGCGATGGAGGTGACGGCGAGGGGGGCTCGAGAGGGAGTGAAAGGGGCTAGGGTTTTGGTGCAGACACCTTGGCGGACGTGCCAGACGCCGACCTTCTCGAGGGCGGCGGAGAGGAGGTGCTTGCCGGAGCTGTCGTAGGCGATGTTCGAATCCACGGAGGCGATCACTCCGAACGCCGCCGCAGCTTCGTACCGAAGGTAGGACTTCACCATTCTCTCTCTCTGTGCTGAAGCTCTTGCTGCTTCGCTTTTGCATAAATGATAAACCTCTCTGATTGTGGTGTAGGGTTTTATGGATCTGGTCCCACTTAAGTTTATTGACCAATCAAAATAAAAAGTGAAGCCATGTCATTCTATGGTGTACGAAAAGTTATTAGTTAGTTTTGAACACCGCCGCATGTTATTCGAATGATATTATGGCTAGTGCACAGGGTTGGACTCAAAAGTTTATGTTGAGTGATTTGAAAATAATAGAAGATATGGTAAATTATGATTGGTGCAGTCACATGATGCCTTAAGTCTAAATAATAATTTGAATAAATTTTATTTTATGGGAGGCTTTTTTATAAGTTCTATTTTAGATATTTATATTAGGTTAAGTCCTATGTGATTTCTTATAGAGTTTTAAGTCTTATTTAGATAAGAATGTATTTTACAAGATCTTATGAGTTGTAAATAAATGGTATTAATATACTATTATACACTATAATGGCAAAACCATATATAAGAAATTGAATTTAAAAATCAAAAATCTAGCAAGTTTGCGAAACGTAACGTGACACGTTACGTTACGTATATGTAGGTGTCACGTTACGTTTATGTAGGTGTCACGTTACGTTTATGTTTATGTAATGTCCCACCTGATATGGTCACGTTACGTTACGTTTATGTAAGTGTCACGTTACGTTTCGCAAACTTAATCTATGGTAACATTTAATATCCAAATACAAAATTCCTTAGATATTTAAATGGCAATATGGGATTTCTGATGATGTTATTCACCGGCAACATATGGTTAAATGGTGGGATAATTTCACAATTTCCCGTATTGTTGAAATTGTTCAAACTGAGTTCTCGATTAATATTCATGCTCATACACCTGCCATGGTTAAAGCTCAGCAGATCTCAACTGCTCTAGTCACTCAAGGAAGCCCACTTCAATGAGGGAAGCAGTGCATGAAGAAGATGAATAGATGAATAACACAATAAGAAGCACAAATAAATGTTTAATACTAATAACAAAATAACTTTTAATAACAAAGTAACTTACAATTGTTTAATGGAAGTAACTGTAGAGAGTTGCTCCAAAATACATGACTTAAAAATCAGATTTTGACTAACAGAGATAGGTGTTGGTTCTTACTCAAAGTTTCCAATTTTTCTAATCTCTGCCTACAACTGACTAAAACATTACAATTTATAGGAAAAGAAATTAACTATGCAACATGTGACTTGGGGTTGATCATGAGAGCAGCTGGCAGCACATGAGCAAAAGCAGGCTGTCTGATGCTTTTGGCTGATTGACTGAAAGTTGATGTAGCTTTTGATTGACGTTGATTAGTGAATAGTGAACAGTAAAATTGACTTTTACTATTCATTTACTTTCGGTGGAGGTAAGCATGTGACTAGGGAATCAATATAAATACAAATCGACAGCTTTTCTAAAAAAAGTATTGATTGAAGCAGATTTATGTTTATATGGAATCCAATGCAGAGCTGACTAGGCATATGGGTCCTGAGCATCTTGAAACTCGGGTCCATATGGGTTTTGAGTAATTGAACCTTCAGAAGAATTTGAACTGTCTGAACCTTCTTCTGAATTATCTTGATCAGATTCTGACTAGGCCTGGGCCATGAGGAGACGAGCCATTTGGAGCAGCTCATCTTTGGATGACTTGGACTTGGGCCTATCCTTGGACTTGACTATGGGTTGAGCCTGAGATGACTGCGCTTTATTCTTGGACTTTGATTTAGTAGTTTTGGGCTTTGTTGATTTTGTTGACTTGGGCTTTGAAGAACTTGAAAATGGGCTTCCAAGGTTGACTGGAGGAAGTTGGCTTGCTTGTGTTAATAGAGCAATTAGGATCTGCTGAGCTTTAACCATGGCAGGTGTAGGAGCATGAATATTAATCAGAAATTCAGTTTGAACAATTTCAACAATGCGTTGAACCTTGAAATTATCCCACCATTTAACCATATGTTGTCGGAAAAAAATGTCATCAGAAATACCATATTGCCATTTGAATATCCAAGGGATTTTATATTTGGATATAAAAATAAGCAATGGAGGAAATTTCCTTTACTGTGGTGTGAATGAGAAAACAGTAGAAAAATAGTTGATTTGGTCAATCAAAATAGAAGGGAAGATATCTAAAATGGCATCATAATAAGTCCACCATCTCAGAAACCAAAGTAGGTAATTCGGACTTGAACTTTTGATCAAATTGGAGAAACCAGGAGTGACTATTTGATTCATTTTGGTACAAAAGAACTTTGAACCAAGCATCCATGTAATCATAGTAACTATATTGAATCGGATGATCAGGTAAATCACGGAGTTGGTAAGGAGAACCCCATTCAGAAAGGGAAACAATATTGTGAATATATAATGAATGGTAAACAACTTTACTAGTGTAAGTTCGATCATAAATAGGTTTAATCACAATAGACTGATGGTTGAATAGGATATTTTTGTAGAAGGTAAGGGTTTTATCTGGATGGAGAGGAAAAAAATGCCATCCAGGAGGAAAATAAGATTTAACCAGGTTATGAACAGAATGATTCTGTGGGTGACTAGGTTCTTTGAAAAAAAGGTTAGTAGTGGTAGATTTAACATAATCAGATCGAGCGGATTTAATAGGGTTAGGAGGATATGGAGTGACTGCTTGGCTAGATGAAACAAAAGGATCAGTAGTCAAAGCAGATGTGTAACTAGGTTTAGGAATGTTACCAAGAATTTGGTAACGGTTAACTAGTTCAACAGGATGGTATTTGGTGACTAACTCCAAAGGAGGAGGAACAAAAGGTTGACTAGATGGAACCAGGGCTTTGGAAGGAGGCCTGGGGCGAGACATTCGTTTAATAGAAATAAAGATTAGCAACCACTAAATAGATCTAAGTAAGCTTGATGATAATCCAAACAGTTGTAATAATCAGCAAGTAAATGGCGATGAGCCTGAATTTGGTGATAATTAATATACTGAACACGGGGTGTAGTTTTTCTGGCTAATTTTAGTCGAGCAATTCAGTAAGCAGTTAGGTGAATAAGATCACGGTAGTGGGTAATTTGGGTTTTATGGTAAGCAATATATGGAGTGGTCATCCCTATCCCCCCTATAAAAATTCTCGGGTAAGAAAATCAAGAATAGAATTTTGACAACCAGGAATATATTCAATATCAAAATCAAAAATACTTAATATAGATTGCCAACAGGTAAAAATTTGCTTACTAGCAAGATTTTGAACATCTTTTTGTAAAACATATGTAGCAGATTTGCAATCAACACGAAATAAAAACTTTTGATTTAATATATCATCTTGAAATTTACTAATACATAAAACAGTAGATAAAATTTCTTTTTTAATAGTACTATAATTTAATTGTGTTTTATTTCAGACACCAGAATGATAGTGAACAATTTGTTTAGATGACTGAGGAGTGACTTTCTGAAGAAGAATGCCACCATAACCAATATCAGAAGCATCAGTTTGAATAATCTTGAATGAATTTTCAGTAGGAATACCAAGACAAGGAAGAGACTTAACATATTGTTTGACTTGTTTGACAATAGCAGTATGAGTAGAAAACCAAGGAGGAGGATTATCCTTTAACCGATCAAACAAAGGTTGACAAATTTTCCTAAGGTCTTTGTAGAATTCAGCAATGTAATTAAGTGAACCTAAGAACCGTTGTAACTGGGTTTTATCCAAAATTTCATCAGAGAACTTAGATGCAAACTCAATGTTGCGACTAATAGGTAGAATGGTATTTTGGTGAATATCATAACCTAAAAATCGGACTTTAGTTTGAAATAAGTTAATCTTAGGAGCAGAAACGACTAGACCATGACTTTTAATAGTATAAAAGAAAGCATTAAGGTGTTTCCAATGTTTACTAATTGATTTAGAAAAAATAAGTATGTCATCAATATAAACTATGGAAAAATGACTAAAAGGGTTGAATATATCATTCATGACATTTTGAAATTCACTAGGAGCCTTTTTTAATCCAAATGGCATGACATTCCATTCATAGTGACCATAAGGTGTAGTAAAAGCAGTTTTATATCTATCATTAGGATGAATTTGAATTTACCAAAATCCACTTTTTAAATCAAATTTACTAAAAATAACAGCTTGACTAAGTCTTTTGATTAAGTTTTTTTTATTAGGAATATGATATCTAATCTATTCTAAAACTTTATTTAATGGTTTATAATTGATGACTAAGCAAAAGACACCTTTTTCTAATTCAACATTTTTATTAATATAAAAAGTAGGGCAAGACCAGAGTGATTTATTAGGACTAATGATTCTATTTTTTAATAATTCATTAATTTCTTTTTTACACATTTCAACTAATACATGATTCATTTGAATAGGTCGAGATTTAGTAGGAATTTGTCGTTCATTAAAATTCTTAATGTAGGGTAAAGTCACTACATATTTTTTCCTATGCCAAAGGCAGTTGGTAAAGAAGAACAAACAATTATTTCTAGTTTTAATTTGAATTCTTCAATTTGAGATATAATTACTGGGTCAGTTAATTGTTGATCAATTCTTTTATAATTGACTTCTTCTTTGAAATATCTTAAATGATGAGTTAATCGATTAATAGTTTGAGAAATAGAACAATTTTTTAATTGATTTAATTCTAAAATTTCAGGAGGAGATAAAAATTTAAAAATAACTGTTTGACTAAAAGCTTGAGTAGTAATGCCTTCACTAGATGTTATAAAGGGATATAATAAAAATATAAATAGTGCCTAAAATAATTTTATCAGACATATTTTTAACTAAAACAAATGAGGTTTTAAAACAAACATTATTTTAACAAATATGAGCTTTAGGTAATTTATATTTAATATGCATTTTACTACCATTAGCAGAAGTTAATTTTTCACGACATTTTTCATAATATTTAGTAGGAAGTAAACCTTCTTAAATACAATTAAGATCAGCACCAGTATCAATTAAAGTAATAAGATTTAATTCAAAATCATCAATAACTAATGTAACTTTTGAATACCATTTTTTAATATGGATTTT